TGCGGGGGGGTCCTGGTCCCTCGTGGGCACCGTGGGGGTTTGGGCACAGCTGTGTCCCCTTGGAGCTGAGCTGTGCGCCGTGTTCCGCTGCGGCGTGGCAGCGCTTTGGGGCTGCTTGCTTTGGTCCTTCCCCGAGCGGAGCCTGGAGGTGGGATCCCCCGTGTGCCATTCGTGCCCATGGTGCTGCAGCTCATTGGGGAGCTGCTGAGGAGCCGTTTTCCCATCCATCCCCACGCAGGCAGCAAGGCGAAGGCGGGCGCCGTGCGCTTCGCCCCCAGCCAGCCGAGCGAGGGGAACCCCGGCCACGTCCACTTCGATGAGAAGCTGAGAGACTCGGCCGTGATGGTGACGCAGGAGAGGGACGGCCACGTCCTTGTCAAGGTCCTGGCAGGGCTGTGGGGAGCAGTGCTGCGCTGCGGGGTCCGGGGGGGGGGGGGGACGGGGGAGCTGGGTGTCCCCAAGGCTGTGCCACGGGGCCCCGTCCCCTTTCCTAGGGAAACAGAGGGCTCCGTGGTGCCCAGGTGTCACATGAAGCCGGGTGATGTGAATTGCCGCCCAGTGTGCTCCCAATACAACTCAATGGGTAGACCTGGCAGCTATGTGCCCTCCCAGTACAACGCAATGAGTAGACCTGGCAGCCCAGTATCTTCCCAATACAACCCGATGGGTAGACCTGGCAGCTGCATTCTCCCAATACAACCCAATGGGTAGACCTGGCAGCCTTGTGCTCCCAATACAACCCAATGGGTAGACCTGGCAGCCCAGTGCCCTCCCAATACAACCCAATGGGTAGACCTGGCAGCCCAGTATCCTCCCAATACAACCCAATGGGTAGACCTGGCAGCTATATGCCCTCCCAGTACAACGCAATGGGTAGACCTGGCAGCTCAGTGCCCTCCCACTACAACGCAATGGGTAGACCTGGCAGCCCAGTATCCTCCCACTACAACCCAATGGGTCGACCTGGCAGCCGTGTGCTCCCAATACAACCCAATGGGTAGACCTGGCAGCTATGTGCCCTCCCAATACAACCCAATGGGTAGACCTGGCAGCTGTGTGCCCTCCCACAACTCAATGGGTAGACCTGGCAGCTGCGTGTTCCCAATACAACCCAATGGGTAGACCTGGCAGCTGCATTCTCCCAATACAACCCAATGGGTAGACCTGGCCGCCTAGCATCTTCCCAATACAACCCAATGGGTAGACCTGGCAGCCTTGTGCTCCCAATACAACCCAATGGGTAGACCACAGCAATTGCTGTGGGTCGCTCAGCAGTGGATGTGGGTGCTGTGGGTGCCACATGTGCCCTACACACAGTGCCCAGGTCCCAGTGGCACAGCTCCGTGTGCTCACGTTATCCACAGGGTTGGTGTCCTCGCATCACCCGGGCTGAGGGATGTCCCCTTCTGTCCCCATGGTGGCTTTGGGGTCGGTGCGTGGCTGCTGGAAGTGCCCCCAGTGGGTCCTTACACCCGGGGCTGATGGCTCTCAGGGGTCCTTACACCATGGGAGGTGCTGTGGGGTGGGGATTCGGTCCCAAGAGCCGCCGTGCCCCTCCAGGTCGGCTTCCTGAAGATCCTGCACAAGTATGAGATCACCTTCCTGCTGCCCCCATCGCAGCGGCTGGGGAGGGACGTGTGTGCTCTGCCCCTGCCCAACCCCAACCTCAAAGTCCTCGGTGTCACTGCGGTGCCTGAAGGTAAACACTTCATCCCCACCACTGCTGTGTGTGCGTCCCTTGAGCCCAGCCCCATCCCTGCCCATCCATGGGCACGGGGTGACCCCCAGCAGACGTTGGGGTCAGAGAACACCTCTGAGATCCCCTCCCCACTGTGTCCACTGACCATCTCCCCCCAGTGCCACATCTCTGTGGTTTTATTGCCTCGTATCCAGGCTACAGTGTGAGGTGTGAGTACACGGCTCACAAGGAGGGTGTGCTGAAGGAGGAGATGCTCCTGGCCAGCGAGACCGGGGATGGCTCCTGCCTTAAGGTGGTGGTGCAAGCACGTGTCATGGGTAAGGGCTGAGGACGTCCGACTGGGGTTCATGTCCTGGGGTTTGGTGGGATCTGTGGGCTTTGTGTGGTTCATTGGATTTTGAAACCGTGATACCTCCCCAGTACAACCCAATGGGTAGACCTGGCAGCTATGTGCTCCCAATACAACCCAATGGGTAGATCTGGCAGCCCAGTATCTTCCCAATACAACCCAATAGGTAGACCTGGCAGCCTTGTGCTCCCAATACAACTCAATGGGTAGACTTGGCAGTCCAGTGTCCTTCCAATACAACCCAATGGGTAGACCTGGCAGCTATATGCTCCCAATACAACTCAGTGGGTAGACTTGGCAGCCCAGTTTCCTCCCAATACAACTCAGTGGGTAGACTTGGCAGCCAATGGATAGACCTGGCAGCCTTGTGCTCCCAATTCAACCCATGGGTAGACCTGGCAGCTATATGCTCCCAATACAACTCAGTGGGTAGACTTGGCAGCCCAGTTTCCTCCCAATACAACTCAATGGGTAGACTTGGCAGCCCAGTGCCCTCCCAATACCGCCCAATGGGTAGACCTGGCAGCTCAGTGCCCTCCCAATACAGCCCAATGGGTAGACCTGGCAGCTGTGTGCTCCCAATACAACCCAATGGGTAGACCTGGCAGCCTTGTGCTCCCAATACAACCCAATGGGTAGACCTGGCAGCCCAATATCTTCCCAGTACAACCCAATGGGTAGACTTGGCAGCCTTGTGCTCTCAATACAACCCAATGGGTAGACTTGGCAGCCCAGTATCTTCCCAATACAACCCAATGGGTAGACCTAGCAGCCATGTGCTCCCAATACAACCCAATGGGTAGACCTCGCAGCCATGTGCTCCCAATACAACCCAATGGGTAGACCTGGCATCTATGTGCTCCCAATACAACCCAATGGGTAGACCTGGCAGCCACGTGCTCCCAATACAATCCAATGGGTAGACCTGGCAACCATGTGCTCCCAATACAACCCAACGGGTAGACCTGGCAGCTATATGCTCCCAATACAACCCAATGGGTAGACCTGGCCGCCCAGTATCTTCCCAATACAACCCAATGGGTAGACCTGGCAGCCTTGTGCTCC